AAAAAAAAAAAAAAAAAAAAAAAAAAAAAAAAAAAAAAAAAAAAAAAAAAAAAAAAAAAAAAAAAAAAAAAAAAACGGACTCAAGCAAATGCGGTTACAATTAAATGCCGCAGTATAAAAATACTTATCACATGAAGCGGCAATGAATGACGACCAGTTTCAGCAGCTAATATGGGGTGTATTTGAGACCATAAACGACATAGCAAGCAAGTCGAATGGGATGCGGGAAGCTGACCCTGTGCGAGCGAAACCGTTCATCGGGGAAGAGAATGACGACCCAGTCGAATAGCTAGAAGGTTTCAAATAAATGGCAGAAGCTAATGAGTGGAAGGATGGGAAGAAGTTGAAAATAGCCCTAAGGTACCTGCTGGGGCTGGCAGCCGACTGGTATAAGGAAAGTAAAAACAAAATTACAGTATGGAAAAATGACGAAGAACCTGCGCGGAGCTTCTACCATGCACTAGTGGAATACTTCGCAACGTTGGAGAAACGATATAAGTAGCAAATAGAGTTAAACGAGCTGAGTCAGAAGAACGACGAGAAAGTAGAAAAGTATGCCATAAAGTTCAAGTGCTTACTAATGAGGGTAGACCTGAAGGAAACAATCCCAGATGACTACGTAGTGAGAATGTTTTTGAACAGACTAAAAGGCAATACTGCTACCTTTATAGCCATGACGTCGCCTAGGGACTTAATGGAGGTTATTGCAGTGGCACGCAGAGCAGAGGCAGGAAACTATTATGAGCAACAGGCCTGGGGAAGAACAAGGAATGTGACAAAACAACTAGAGAGTAACATAGAAAGGCTTGAGCGACGGATCAAGGAACTTGCGACGAATCAAGAGAAACAACAGAGGGAGCCACGACAAGAACAAAGAGGCGGAGAAAAGAAAAACATAGTTTGCTACCGTTGTGGAGGAGAAGGACACATAACCCGACAGTGTACTGAAGGGGAGGCACGAAAAGGGCTTGTAAGGACCGCGATCCCGAAAATGCAGTACTGCTATGAAGTGGGAGGAAACAAGGGGGAAGAGGAAAAGGAGGAGGCATACACACTGGGGACAGCAGGAAAGAGGGGCAGGCCGAGGTAACAGGAAGGGAGGAACGTGGACGAATCAGGAAAGACACCGAAATCTATAAGAACACAGGAACCAATGGTGATCGTACACCTCTCCAAGGCAACTGGTGTCACCAAGAGACCTAGACGAAAGAGAATGCCATCAACCATCGATATACTCAACCCATACGACATCTCGGAGGACATTCTAACAATAAAGGCAAATGTGATATACGGGCAGTTGCTGAAGTACACCGATCAGCGGCGCAATTTCTCTAAGATACTTAAACGAGCCAAGCCGTAGGAAGAAGCAAACCAGGTAAATTCCGCGGACACCTTTAAGACAACAGCAACAAAATGCTACATGAAAATTGGGGCAGGACGGTGGTCGCCACCCTGGATATAGGGGCAGCAGTGAGTATAATAACAAAAAAATTGCTGGATAAACTTCATTTGGAAATAAACGAGAAATCCACTTCCGTCATCATCACCGTTAACGGGATGAGGGAAAGGACCCTGGAGAAAGCTAGGGAGGTAGGGATAACCATATAGGAAGTAACCATCCTCGTGTCCTTGCGAGTTATTGAATCTAGGAACGAGACACTCCTACTGGGGACCGATTGGTTATAAAAAGGAAAAGCCCGGATATACTTTGATGAGCAAAGGATACTCCTGAAATATCAAGAAAAGGAGTTGAAAGTGCCTATTTCGTATAATGGCATCGAAGGATTAGCATATCCAGATGAGGTAGAAGCGAATGATTATGAGAGTGGAGATGTCTTCGACGAGTGGGAGTACGAGAGTGAAGAAGGGTTAGAAGAAAAAGGTTATTATACAGAGGAGCGATCGGAGGGAGAAGAGGCAACTCTCGAAGAAATTCTGAGTCCCGCTATCCACCTGGCTGCCCTGGAAGAAGTGCCAACATGGGAAGAGGGCGAGCTCACCATCGAAGAACCAAAGATGGATTTAGACAATCTGTCAGAGGAAAAAAGGAGGGAGGTGGTGAAACTTTTCGAAACAAAAGACGAACTATTCACTAGAGAACTGGACGAACTTACTCAGACCAACGTGGTTCAGCATAAAATCGATACTGGTGACGCTAAACCAATCAAGCAACCATTGTACAGGATGGCCCCTGATGAACATGAATACATAAAGGACGAGTTAGCAAAGATGAAGAGTCAAGGACTGATCACGGAGTCAAGAAGCCCATGGGCGTCACCGATTGTGATAGTGCCCAAAAAAAATGGGAAGTGGCACCTATGTGTGGACTACAGGAAGCTAAATGCAGTAACAAAGAAGGACGCCTACCCACTACCGAAAATCGATAACTTGATCGAGACCCTCGGACGAGCGAGGTGGTTCTCGAATCTTAATCTCGCTAGCGGATACTGGCAAGTGCGGGTCCATGAAAGGAACCGTAAAAAGACAGCATTCGTGACAAAATTTGGAACTTATGAGTTCTACGTGATGCCGTTTGGGCTATGCAATGCCCCGGCGACGTTTCAGAGACTTATGAATGAGGTGCTATATGACCACCTGGGGAAATTCGTAGCTGTGTATCTAGACAACATCATCGTATACTCACAGACATTTTCGGAACATACTAGTTACTTAACTCATATCTTCGGGGAACTGCGTCGAGTTTTGCTAAAACTGAATGCAGAAAAGTGCAAATTCTTTTTACCGAATATGGGATTCTTGGGACATGTCATAGGAAGAGACGGCATCCGACTGGACGAAGATAAGATAGTGAAGGTGAGAGATTTTCTTGCCCCAGGGAATATAAAGCAGTTACGAAGCTTTATAGGTCTCGCCTCGTACTATCGAAGGTTCATCTGAGGGTTCGCGGCAATCGCGAAGCCGCTACATTAGTTGCTTGAGAAGAATGTACGGTATGAGTAAACAGATAAACAACAAGCAGCATTTGAATGACTAAAGACATACCTCATCTCCGCCCCAATCCTACGGTACCCAGACTTCGAAAGAACGTTTTATTTGCATACTGACACGTCAGGAATAGGCGTGGGAGCAGTGTTAGCTCAGGTCGACGACGTGAGAAGGGAATACATAATCGCGTACGCTAGCAGAAGCTTGTCAAAGGCAGAAAGGAACTACGCCGCAATGGAGCTGGAATGCCTGGCAGTGATATGGGGGATCAAATATTTCTACCACTACCTCAGCATGAAACCATTCATAGTAATGACCGACCACTCAGCACTACGATGGTTAGAGACCTCAAAGCTGAGAGGTAGAAGGGCACGGTGGGTCCTTCACCTTCAACCATATAGCTATACAATTCTGTACCAGGCCGGAAAGAAACATTCCAACGCCGACGCCCTGTCTCGCTTGACTAGCAAAAAGAAACGGGCGAAGAGTGCGGAAGTCAAAGGAGCAAAAAAGAAAAAGGAAGTGAATAATCGGTTCGAACAAATAGAAAACGACTCAGCCTACTTGCACGACGAAACAGACATTACAAACAGCAATATAGTAGACCAACAATAAAAAAAAAAAAAGAGAGAGAGAAAAAGATATAAACTATGGCAAACGCAAAAAAAAAAAAAAAAAAAAATCTGAGGAACAGAATCCAGCCCAGGTTCCAGTGTCTTGGCAAATAATAATTGCAATACTAGTACGTTAATAATCGAAAGAATTGGTAAGTATAATGGATGAAGAACGATATAGACAACTAAAGAAATACCTACAAGAACGACGGCTACCCGTGGGGTGTTCACAGCAACAGGCGGAAAGGATACAGGCACAGAGCAGCTTCTTTATAATAAAAGAAGGAAATGTCTATAAGAAGGATAAGCACAAAAAGAATAATCTACTGAAAGTATTACAGCGCCACGAGATAGGCCCCATCCTGTATTTGACACACAATCACCCACTTGGGGGACACCTGGGGAGAGATGTTATGTTTAACAAAATTCAAAATCTGTACTACTGGCCACAGCTGTACAAAGATATTCGAGTATACGTGCGATCTTGTGACCAGTGTCAAAGGAGGGGGAGAGATAAGCGACGAGGACCCCTACATCCTATACCTGTGGGAAACCCATTCGCACAAGTAGGGATCGATATAGTGGGACCTCTACCCACTACCCCTAGAGGAAATCGCTACATTGTAATCGCTACTGACTATATGACAAAGTGGCCCGAGGCTTGAGCTTTGGGGGAAGCGACGGCACAGAAGGTAGCAGAGTTTATCTATGAAGAAGTGGTATGCCGGCATGGATGCCCAACTTACCTGTTGTCCGACCAGGGCACGAATTTTAGAAGTCGCATGCTAAACGTGTTCCTAGAAAAGTTCCGCATCAATCACTTGTACTCGACACCATATCATCCACAAACAAATGGGCTGGTGAAGTAATTCAACCGTATCTTATACGAGGCTATTGCTAAATTGGTATGCGATGTGATGAATTGGGACTGTATGATACCCTCAGTACTGTTTGCTTATAGGACGGTACGCCAGAAGACAACAAGAATGACGCCATTCTATCTGACATATGGGAAGGAGGCACGGACCCCAATCCACCATATGGAAAGTAACGAATCAAGGGGGGAAACGATGCATCAACGAATTACCGACTTAGTAGAAGTGCTACAGCAGCGTCGAAAAGACACAGTGACACGAGTAAATGTCACTCAACAAAAGATAAAAACACGACATGACCAAAAATACCGATACAAGAAAAATCTTACCGTTGGGGACAAGATACTAATGTACAAAGCATCCCAGGAAAACTCATGAAGCAACAAATTAGACCCGAAATGGATAGAGCCATTTTACATGCACAAGGTACGACTGAACACTATATGCCGGTTGCGTACGATAGATAGGAAAATATTGAAGAGACCAATCAACCAACAGTTACTAAAAAAGTACGAGGACCCTGTGGAATATGGGCAACAAAGGAAGTTTGACGCCCTAAACTAATCTCGCCACCAGAAATACAGGAACAGACGTGACAGAAATAAAAACAAACAACACAGGAAAAGCACAAAATAACGAAAGGTGAATAAATGGAAAAGGAGAAAATGGTAGAGGAAAATGAGATAAGTATCGACTTAACTTTAATCACCGTGGATCTAGCAGCAGCTGAACCATACATCCGGAAATCTTACCTCGACCGCACAAAGGGAACCAAGATGTGGCAACAAGTATCGCTAATATGTATTGACAAATGAGAAGGGCGCAACAAGAGAAAAACCGAATCAAGGCACTCACATATGCTTTCTACATTGGAGAAATTGTTGCAAATATAATGGAATCCCCACGAGGGAAGGTATCGAAAGGTATGCTATCATGGCATTACCGAACTGGGTGTACGCGTATCTACCAGATATTCGAAAAACAAGGCATTGCTCAAATTTATCAAACGTCGCATATAACAATTAGCATGGTTAAAGCCATGCGTGGTGATACCTATCGTAATTTGATGATCGCGTGTGAGACTCGCGATCAAAGAGGAGGATAACAATAATAATAATAATAAATAGAACGGATGGATAGGAAAGTGGGATAAAAAGGGAAATGAGATAGTGTTAGTTTAAGTATAGTTTAGAATTTATTCAGCGATAACATTAGATTAGCTTACTGTGTTTAGTTTTGATTTCTACCCGATTAATTGGTACCTTTACTTTTATTTTTCTTTCTATTTTCTATTTTTACTTTATTTTGAAAGAAGCGGCGAAAAAAAAAAAAATTGGAAAAATCAGAGAAAAATTTTTGAAAAAAAAAAAAAAAAAGTATATTTTATTTTCATTTTTATTAATATAGTGGTTCTTATTTTTGAAATTAAACAAATAG